GTGTCTCCAACGTGGGTAACAGGGACCCAAGTACTTGAGCCATCATCTGCTTCCTCCTAGTAGTGCTGCCTGGTCCAGGGGAAGAAGCTGGAGCAGGAGCCCTCAGAGGAAGGTCTTTTATTCTTAACAAGCCAGGTGGGAAGCCCTGGCCTGAGGCCCCAGAGCCTCACTCACAGGTGGCTTGTATGCAGGACTCTCTGAAATTTGGAAGGATGGAACTGAAAACAACAGCAGATTTCAGCTGTGGTCTCGCCTTTTACTGGGAAGCTGTGATTAAGGGTGCCTCAGTTTACCTCTCTGGGCCTCAGTGTCCGCATTTGTCACGCAGTAGCAAGAGGTAACACTTATGTAGAGCTTATCTGTGCCAGGCACTATTGTGAGGGCTCTGGGTATCTATTTAATGCTACCACAACCACATGAGAATAGATGCCAGTATTTTTTACACTTAAGTAATCTGCCCACACTCCCACTGCTGGTTGGTGTTGTGACAGGATCTGAATCTCCACTACCTGTTGTCAGGCTCACATCATGTTTTTTTGTTTGTTTGTTTGTTTGTTTGTTTTTAAATGATTTATTTATTTATTTGAAAGGCACAGCATTGGGGTGGGGTGGGGAGCGATATCTTCTATCTGCTGGTTCATCCCCTAAATGACCACAACAGCTAGAGCTGGGCCAGGTCAAATCCAGGAGCCTGGAACTCCATCTGGGTCTCCCATTTGGTTGGCAAGGGCCAAGCACCTGGGCCATTATCCACTGTCTTCTAAGGTGCATTAGCAGGGAGCTGGATTAGAAGTGCAACAGGACTCAAACCAGCACTCTGATATAGGATGTTAGTGTCGCAGGAGCAGGTTTTTTTTTTTTTTAAGGATTTATTTTATTTATTCGAAGGATAGAGTTAAAGAGAGAGGTAGAACCAGAGAGAGAGTGAGAGAGGTCTTCCATCCACTGATTGACTCCCCAAATGACTGCAATGGTCAGAGCTGAGCTGATCCGAAGCCAGGAGCCAGGAGCTTCTTCCAGGTCTCCCATGTGGGTGCAGGGGCCCAAGGACTTGGGCCATCATCTACTGTTTTCCCAGGCCATAGCAGAGAGCTGTATCGGAAGTGGAGCAGCCGGGACTTGAACCGGTGCCCATTTGGGATGCCGGCACTGTAGGCCAGGGCTTTAGCCCACTGTGCCACAGTGCCAGCCCGCAAGCAGCAGGTTAACCCACTGTGCCACCATTTAGATCTTATGTCTTTATTTTCAAAAATTCTATTTTTAAATTAACCCATCTATTCTACCACCAGGGTGATGCAAAAATGAGTTGTCTGTTTCCTCTTTCTCTCTTTTTCTTTCTTTCTTTCTTTCTTTCTTTCTTTCTTTCTTTCTTTCTTTCTTTCTTTCTTTCTTTCTTTCTTTCTTTCTCTCTCTCTCTCTCTCTCTCTCTCTCTCTCTCTCTTTCTTTCCAGGCAGAGTGGACAGTGAGAGAGAGAGAGACAGGGAGAAAGGTCTTCCTTTTTGCCGTTGGTTCACCCTCCAATGGCTGCCACGGCTGGCGCACCGCACTGATCTGAAGGCAGGAGTCAGGTGCTTCTCCTGGTCTCCCATGGGGTGCAGGGCCCAAGCACTTGGGCCATCCTCCACTGCACTCCCGGGCCACAGCAGAGAGCTGGCTTGGAAGAGGGGCAACTGGGACAGAATCCGGCACCTCGACGGGGACTAGAATCCGGTGTGCCGGTGCCGCTAGGCGGAGGATTAGCCTACTGAGCCACGGCACCGGCCTGTTTCCTTTTTCTTGAGAGAAATTCCTAATAAGACAGTGATCAGCACTGTGTATCCCCCAAAGCCAGTTTTTGATCAAGAAATACTGAAAATGGATGCTCAGTCACACATTCCACATCACCTTCAAATGACATATGTATAATTTGTAATACAATTACGAGCTATGCTAGAAGTCCCAACTGCTAGCCATTCCACTGTGTCCTGCCCACCTCTGAAACAGTACAGTTCTGCCGTGACTTTTAAACGATGGTGACCTGCAGTGTTAGGGAAGGAGTGGGGGAGAGTGAGAGGGGGCAGCAGGCCCTTCAGCATGGGCGACGCCTCCTGCGATGGTGGGCTCCCCAGAAATGCCCCTCGATCCCTCTTCCAAACACGAGTCTGTCTGGCTCTCAGGGGTCAAGACCAAATGTCTGTACTCAATGCCACGAGAGTAACCTGGAAACTTGACTTGAGGCAACTCTTAGGGGCAGGAAATGAGAAATGTAAAACACTTTTCTAGCTAATTAAAACATTTCATCGTAAGCAGGTTCTTTAGCATCCACAGTGGAGGGCTCCTAAAACTTTGGTGGTCATGTAAGAGTGTTTGGGGAGCAGGTTTGTACTCTATTGTTGATGTCTGCACAACATGTGGATTTTTTTTTTTTTTTTTGACAGGCAGAGTGGACAGTGAGAGAGAGAGACAGAGAGAAAGGTCTTTCTTTTGCCGTTTGGTTCACCCTTCAATGGCCGGCGGCGCCGGGCGCGCTGCGGGCGGGCGACGCCGCGCGAGTCCGAGGGGAAGGAGCCAAGGAGCCAGGGGCTTTTTC